TTAAGTATAAAAAAATATGTACGTCACTGAATTCTTCACAAACAACGTATAAATTAAAATGTCACCGCTTTAGAAAAAATCAAATTGTAACCACTACAGCAGTCACCCAAAATATAAATATTTTGATTTTTTGACCAAAACTTTAAATCATATCGAAAATAAATTATAAAATGAAGATTTGTCTCAATAAAGTGGCCATCGGTCCCAAAAATTGCAAATTTCGATCTTTAATAATAACAGAGATATCCTAGCATGTCATCGAAAATATAAAAGTTAATAATAATGAATAACGTGCCTACTAAAAAAATAAGATATTTAAATTGGGTGTACAATTACCTAAATAAATAATCAAGTTTTCTGTCAATTTATGTCTCATCAATGCAGTTTAATAAATGTTACACTTGATTATATGTTAAGTAAAACAGCAAATAAAATTAATTACGAAATAGTGTAAAGGTGAAATGAAATATTTGAAATACATGGAATATATTAACTTTTATATAACTGCAAATGCGTTTACAAAGTTGAAGAACAATTCGATATATTATGCGAATCAATTGTAATCTTGAATTTACATTTGAATGAACAATTTTGCGTAATTCATAATATCCAAGTAAATTTTAATCCTGTATTTGCATGTGCGTAACATATAATGTATTTTATACATTAAATCAACTAACTTCCTTTCTTTATTATTCAATGATAAGTTGTATGCACCAAATGATCGCTAAAAATCTTCTTGAAATGTATCTTAAAACAAATAAAATTTGAAATAATCTTTTCTTGCAGAATTTCTCTTCAGACCTGTGATAAATGTAATATATTTCTATTTTCAGATGAACAGGGTCTCTTCATAGGTTTCCTAAACTCATTTGTGCATGTTATCATGTACTCTTACTATTTGATAGCAGCACTGGGTCCCCAATATCAGAAATACCTTTGGTGGAAGAAATATATGACATGGATTCAACTGGTATGTGTTACATAGCATTGTATTTGATTTTCTTCCATTTTCAAGTAAACGTTACTTTGAACAATTCTTATCTATTTGTTACAAATGATCTTTTAGTTCAGTAAACTAAGCATTTCCTTATTAATGACGCACTAAAAATATAATTTCGAATAAATTCACGTTGTTAAATACACAGGCACACACAAAAAAAAATCATGAATCAGAGGGTAGACCCCACTACTCTTAGGTTTTTGAGGTCGTTGAAATCGAATATAACCATAAAAAATGATTTCAATTGCCTGTTTTCCCACTAGCACTTATTTTTTTTGGGACGCTAAAACCGAATAATGATTTATGTCCTAATCATAACCGTTTATTTTGCCTTTTGATATTTTGAATTTGACACCTTATTCTACACAAGATATTTTAAGCAAGAGATTTCGATATCATAGAAAGAGGTAAATGCCGAATCGTGAGAGGCAAGGGGACTCACGTTAATCAAGCACCCCAAACGGAACAGAAGCCTACCACCTCTACGCCGTTTTCCTGGGTTGCTCTAAGAGTAGAACCAAATCATAAATACATCTAAGAGCTGATACTTCTGATCGGTGAAGTATTGGAGGTACTCTTAAACTTGTCTAATTAACCGGTAATGGACTTTGCATCGTTGGAATTTTGAGCGTTGAGCCCATGAAAACTTCGGTTCTCCTTCATATGGATCCTGCTGGTTCTATCAAATGATTGTAAGGGAGTGTAAGGGGGTAATCGAGTAAGTGGATATAATTTTTTATAGTCATTTTCGGTTTCAGCGTCCCAAAAAATATAGAAATACGCATACATCTTAATTATGTACGAAAATTTATAATTTAACCCCCGTCAGAGGATGATAAGGGGGTGCTAGCGGGAAAACGGGCAATTGAAATCATTTTTTATGGTCATATTCGGTTTCAACGACCCCAAAAATCTTAGAATAGTAGGGTCTACCCTCAGGTTCATGATTTTTTTTCTGTGTGCCTGTAATATTAGTATATTGTGCAATAAGTGCAGTGGTAAGCTCCGATGGGATCCCCAGATTTTTATTCAGTTTAGATTGACATATATAACTGTCGTTTAAATGTCACTTTTTAAAAATAGTATTGTGTATTTAAATTTTTATTACTCATGACGGATAAGTCTTCTTCTTCTTTTCGCATGTTTTTTTGATCGGTACTAGCTGTTTGCCCACTCTATTTCTACATTTAAATGACAGTTATTTATGTCAACTTAAACAGAATAAAAATTTGTGGACCCCACCGGGGCTTTGCCCTTGTAAGATTTCATTGCATTCGTAATAAAAAATAGTATGTGCAATTCGTGCGGTTGTCTACGAGGGTGGTCTGAAAAGTTTCCGATCTCAACATGAAGATGGCAGCACTCGTAAATAAAAGCTAGTGAATTCCGTTGTTCATCTGTTGACAGTTACTCACCAAAGTTTCAGCCATTTTGGACGCGCAGTTGTTATGTAACAGTCGTTTGAGTGAGTTGATGTGTTTTTATGAAAATGGACAAAATCGAGCATCGAGCTGTCATTAAATATTTGTTTTTGAAAGGCAATACGCCTACGCAAATCAAAGATGAGTTGGATTCTGTGTATGGGGACTCTGCACCATCATTTACCACAGTGAAATTTTGGGCAGCTGAATTTAAACGTGGCCGTAAGAGCTTGGGAGACGATGAACGTTCGGGACGTCCAAAAACTGCAACTACCGACGAAAACATCGCCAAAGTTCACCAAATGGTGCTAGACGACCGCCGAATTAAAGTGAGAGAGATAGCAGAGGTTATGAACATGTCAAAAGAACGTGTTTGTCACATATTAAATCAACATTTAAACATGAGAAAGCTGTCCGCGCGTTGGGTGCCGCGTTTGCTCACGTTAGACCAAAAACGTGTTCGAATGAACATTTCCAACGCTCTGTTGGCGCAGTTTAGGCGCAATAAATCCGAGTTTTGGCGCCGATTAATTACTGTAGATGAAACTTGGATACACCATTATACGCCCGAAACAAAAATACAGTCCAAACAGTGGACTGCAAAGGGGGAACCGGCTCCAAAAAAAGCAAAAACTGTTTTTTCGGCTGGGAAAGTGATGGCGACTGTTTTTTGGGATAGTCATGGAGTTATTTTAATCGATTATCTTCAAAAAGGAAAAACCATTACAGGAGCATACTACGCATCATTACTTGACAAGCTGAAGGCAGAACTTGCGGAAAAACGGCCACATTTGCAGAAAAAGAAAATCCTGTTTCACCAAGACAACGCACCGTCTCACACCTCAGCGGTTGCCATGGCGAAAATCCACGAATTACGGTTTGAACTGCTTGACCATCCGCCTTACTCACCAGATCTAGCCCCAAGCGACTTCTTTTTGTTCCCTCATCTAAAAATTGCGCTCGGAGGACAGAGATTTTCGTCAAATGAAGAGGCAATCACCTTCGTGAACAATTATTTTGCAGAGAAAAACGCCGAGTACTATTTGGACGGGTTACAGAGATGGGAGCATCGCTGGGAGAAGTGTGTATTGTTACAAGGAGACTATGCTGAAAAATTTAAAAAAATCTGAAAAAATGTCTTGTATCCTTGTTAGGTCGGAAACTTTTCAGACCACCCTCGTATTGCCCACTTGAGCGGATGAGTGCACGAACGAAGTGAGTGCGCTCAACTCCGCTCTCGTGGGCAATAGACAATTTACCGCACTTATTGCACAATATACTATTTGTGTGTTTTATTGTCAAATTCTGACACAAACTAACAATATTTTACCTAAGTATATTATTTTTCTGCTTTATTTATTAAATTGAATATGTAACATGAAATACCAAATTATAAACTATATCAGAAGTTACGTATACAAGGTGTCCCAAAAATATGGAAACAGCACAATAACTTTCGAATAATGCATTTTGAGGAAAAGTGATTCAGACAAAAGATTTAGGATTTTTCCTAGCTATTCAATGGTGACCCTAGATGTGACCTTGACCTTGACCTTCATGGTTATTTCAAGGTCAAGTTAATTTTTTCAAATGGGATGCCCTACTTTTGACCTCGGAAATGAAAAGAGCGGAAAATTTTACGTTCAGATATGTCCTTGACCATTTTCCGAATTTGACCTCTGATGGTCATTAAAGGTCAAATCAAGGTCACGCATGGTTTGGCGCGCTGTCTTGAAAACAACGGGTTGCAAAAAAATTACCATAACTAACGTTGTAGGATTTTTCCCTGGCTATCTGACGGTGACCCTTGATTTGACCGTGACCTTCACCTTCAAAAACCGCACTATATCAATTTTGGCAAAAATCGGTTGATTTTTGAAATCGCGTCCGCCATCTTGGACTAAAATTCCTCAAAAACAGATTTCAGATTCGTAGTCAGCGACCCCAAAAACCCCCCTATACCAAATTTGGCGTAAATCGGTTAATTTTTTGGAATCGCGTCCGCCATCTTGGATCCGCCATCTTGGAAAATGGTCAAGGACATATCTGAACGTAAAATTTTCCGCTCTTTTCATTTCCGGGGTCAAAAGTAGGGCATCCCATTTGAAAAAATTAACTTGACCTTGAAATAACCTTGAAGGTCAAGGTCAAATCTAGGGTCACCATTGAATAGCCAGGGAAAAATCCTAAATCTTTTGTCTGAATCATTTTTCCTCAAAATGCATTTTTCGAAAGTTATTGTGCTGTTTCCATACTTTTGGGACACGTTGTATAGTATATAAAAATTAGATATGAAAGTTTACGTAGGTATATAAAAAAAATAGGTTATACAATAGAAGCCAAAAATATTTTAAATATTACTTGACATATTACATAATTACATTTTTTTAATATTTTTCAATTAAAATTTGAACAATTTCTACAGCTAATTCACTTTTATCATTATAAAACAGGATACTTTGTACATAATTCAGTTTTTCACATACTTCACCCATATCGTTAATGTTAACTATAACAGCCGCTATAATTAATTATTTCACTAATTTCTCCTTGAACACTAAACTTGAAATTTTTTATCAAAACATTGCATTTAAATGATACATAATTATGACATCATGTATTACAGAAAAAAACTTAACCAGTTCAATTTCATATTCAGTTAGTTGTGGTTAATAGGACATTTTTCCAGCCTGCCGATATCCGAACTGAACGATAATAAAACAAATTTTTCTTCATTTATCTTTAAATGAACTTCGGTGTTATGGCTGACAACGGGAAGTGATGTTTGGAGGCAGAAAATCTCTGTTCACATTTTCCAGAACAACTTTGAAATGCGACGTAACATCCAAAAATAATATGGCATCTATTTTGTTTCGTCTTTTAACCATGAAGTCATAGTCTCTATCATATACCTATTCGAAAAACAAATTGTTGATATAAAATCATTTAAAGCATCAAGAATTTTTACACTTCCATATGATTAACGGCTTTATTTTGTCACCTTTCATATTTGTGCGAAATAAAACTGTTAATTTTTGGGTCGTAGTTTTTTACCTACATATTTATTTATCTCTTTTTAGAGCAAATGGTCATTCCAAGGTTAAATTACGATTTCCTCAGCATTGTACACATTTTGTGGTAAATAGTAGTCCAATATTATTTGTAGCTTTGTTTTCCAGGATTAAACATTGTCAATGTCAACATCAGCAAACTGTTTTAAAATATATTTGATCAAATTTTTTTAACCGTACATTTCAGGCTGTAAAACTCATTTTTATTTTTCGCAAGTTTCAAATCTGTTTCTCAGAAATGCCCTTTCATAGATGATTTCATTTATAAAACTCTAGAGGGCGAAAGAATATATTTCATCAAAATAGTGAGACTGGTAGGTATTGAGATAAAATTGCAGATATATTTCGTGGAAATAATCATGACCATTTAAAAGGGTCTCGCTGTTAAATAGGGCATTAATAAGTATAACTGTTTTGAGAATTTGAGAACGGGACGGTTTTGAAGGTGACCACATTTAAAAGGTGGCCGAAAATAGAA